GGGGGTAGGGGGGGGAGGGGTACTAGGGTGAGGTGTCGGTGCCCCTGCTTGGAAGCCACTGAGAGGCAAAGGGTCAGAAAAGGCCTCCGTTCCCGGGTGGGCGGTGAGTCTCCGTGTCCACACCTCCCAGTGCCCCGGAGGGAGGACCTGCCCTCTGTCCGCACAGGCAGAGGGCCTCTGTGGGAAGAGGCTGCAGCCCCGGGCACTGCTCGCAGCCACGTGGACAGTGGGGGAGAGGGCGGTCAGCCGCTGGGACAGGGGGGGGAAGGGGAGCCCGGACCGGGACGGGGCGTGGAGGTCTGGAAAGGAAGACCTCAGGAAGGGGAGAGTGGGGGGCTGTTCCAGGATCCAGGGAGGGCCCTCCTCCTCCGGGGGCTTCTGTTGGCCCCACAAGTCCTTCTGTGGTGATCCACTGGGCCCCAGGCTAACCTCTGACCCCCGTCTCGCATCTGGATTCTGGTCCCAGCCTGAGCCTGAACCAGTATGCCCAGTCTGACCTGGTCCCAGACTGATCCTGAGTCACAACGAAGCTGGAATCCTGATCACAGACTGAGCCCTGATCCCCCCAGGGGCCCGGCCTCAGTTCCCTTCCCCCTTCTCTGGCGCATTGCTCTGCCCCCTCCCCACCCCTCCCTCTCTCTCACCGTGTTCCTTCCCATTGCCCCTCTCTCAGTTCCCCTTCTTGTGGTCTCGTGTATTTCCTCCAGCTGCTCATAACCCTCTCCCCTTTCTTGTCCTCTCTCTTTCCTCTCCCTCATTTCATCATCATCGCTTTCTTGGTTTCTGCTTCTGCTGTGCAAGCATCTCTACATCTATCCCTTGAGCTCTGAGGTCCTGTCTCCCTGCCCTTCCTCCCTTCCTCACCACCCTATTGTCCTCTCCCCAATCCTCTTCCTCGTCTTCCCGGAGAGTGGGCGTGACTCAGCGGGATCCAGACACAGTGAGACACATGCTACCCAGGCCAGTAACCAAGGAAGTGGTTTCCTTAGCAACAGAATCTGCAGGCATGTGCTCCACTGCCCCATCCCTTAGCTATTACAGTGAGGACTGGGGGCGGGGGTGGGGGTGGGAGTGGGCGTCAAGCCTGGACACAGGGAAGTCAGTCATGACACTGCTGTTGTGACCCTCCAGAGAGGGGACCGTGGTCCGAGACCAGCTCCGTGCCTGGCATTATGGAGACACCAGAAATCTGAGAGGTTGGGGGGGAGGTGGGGTGTGGGGTCAGAGAGAGGCATATGGCATGGAGAGAGCGGAGGGAGGAAGCCACAGGGCTTGGTGACAGACCGGATGTGGGCAGGGGGAAATGACAAGGCCGAGAGGCCTCCACGATTCTTCCTGGGCAGCTCCTGGGAGGAGGTCCTTGGACTGACAGCAGGGAGGGAGGCGGAAAGGCTGTGAGCTGACGTCACTCCCAGGCCCCTG